TCCCCTGCCCTCGGGATTGCCTAATGGACCCCCGTCCCCCCGCTCCGGCCGCGACCCCTTGGCCATACTGAGTGAGATCAGTAAGTCGGTCAAACCGCGGCTAGCGTCCTTCCGCAGCCTCCGAGGCAGCCGAGGGGTAAGTGGGGCCCGGGAGGAGGAGGAAGAGGAGGAGGAGGCGCAGCGGTCACAGGCGCCTGGGGGCCGGGTGGTGGGACCCTGCGTTGGCTCTCTCTCTGTGGCCGGCTGAGCCCCTGTCCTGCTTTGCTTTTTGCATGGTCTCACCCCAAGAGCTCTGCCAGGGAGAAGGGGTCGCCCGGCATCTCCCAGGAGCGTGCAGGGCCAGGACCCCCCATTCCAACTTCTTCACCTTGCAGGCCGTGGTGACGGAAGATTTTAGCCATCTGCCTCCGGAGCAGCAGAGAAAGCGGCTTCAGCAGCAGCTAGAAGAACGGCATAGGGAGCTCCAGAAGGAGGTGGATCAGAGGTAGGAGGTGGAAGAGCAGGTGGGAGAGGAGACCAGCAGGCAGGGGCCACAGCAAACTCCTGAGTGCAAACTCCTGGGGTGCAGCTCAGGGGTGAGTGCTTGCCGGGCCTGCAGGAGGCCGTGGGTTCTGTCCCCGGCGCCAAGGAGACAGAAGGAATGAAACAACCACTCCCAGTTCTCCCTAGCTGACCTCGGGCCCCGATGTTTCTGTGGGTGATTCCTGCCACACTTAGAGGAAACTATTGCTTTACTTCTCAGTCCTTCCAGTAAACAGAGCGAAAAAGCTACAGCATTGTTTGTGTTTGTTTCTGGTGCGGCGGGGTGGGGATATATATCGAAGTCAGGACCTTGTGCTTGCCAGGCAGAAAACTACCAGCATTTTAGGAAGCTGGTGGATTCTCCAATCTTCAAATCAGGGAGCCAGAAATTCCAGAAAATAAAATTATGGGCTCATTTTACTTTATTTATGATCTTAGATTCGAAATCCTAGCCAAGCAGATCTGATGATGTATTTACAAAATGATGCATCTCGTGGTGGGGCCATGGTTGGTGAAGGTCCTTATGCCTTAGACTTGTACACTTAGAAATGGCCACGATGCTACATTTTCTGTTATGGATATTTTACCACAACAGCAAAAGTTTGTAAACTAGGTCTGCTGGCACATGACTGGTATCTCAGCACTCTGCCAGGCTGAGGCGGGAGGGTCATAAGTTTAAGCCCAAGCTGGGTAAACTAGGGACTTAGCAAGACCCTGTCTCAAAATAAAAAAATAAAAAGGATGGAGGATGAAGTCCAGCATGAAGGCCGGGAGTTCCAGCCCCCGTACAGGAAAAAAGCAAATGAGCAAATGAATAACAACAGAGGAAACCCCAAAACACAAAATTCATAAAACCATAAAACAAACACAATCATCTTTTGGATGATGATAGTGCAAAGATGGTTATATATATTTATAATATTATTATTATTTTTTTTTTTATTTTTTATTTTTTATTTATTATTATTATTTTTTTTTGGTACTGGGGATAGAACTTGGACCTTGCACTTGCGAGGCAGGCGGTGGAAACACTGAGCCAAATCCCTGGCCCAAATTTTTTTGTTTTTGCTACCGGGGATGGAATCTGGGTCCTTGTGCTTGTGAGGCAGGTGCTGGAACCACTGAGCTAAATTCCCGGCCCTATATATTTTTTTTAAAAACCCTATCGATCTAATTTAGCACATTAATTAGATTGAAGAAAAAAAAAACCTTTGGGTTATCTGTTGAATACTGAAATGCTCAAAATATTAATAGAAAAAAATCTGCCAGATTTAAAAAAAAAAAATCTTTTCATTTTCCAAGCAACAAAATCTTCTTCCCAGTCCGATTACATAATCGGGGTGACGTTTGCCACTTGCTAGCAGGCAGCCAAATTCTGTTCTGCTGTTTGCATGGAAGCTCTTAGCCCAAATGGCCTCTATGGGTGCGAGGTTCCATCCGGAACTATCTGCTTCCTGGGGTTTGTGGGTGGAGGTGCCTGCCTGGAGTTAGCCAAGGTGGGGCTTAAATTCTGTTGTCACGAAGTCTTGGACGGCTTGTTTTACCTTTTTATGCCTCCGTTTCTTTATCTGTGACACAAGACAAGTGCATAGCTAGGAGAAAGTTGAGCTGAAGTCTGGCATGTTCCGTAAATTTTGTTTAGTTGGCCTCTTTTTTTTTTTTTTTTTTTTTTTTTTTTGCAGTGCTGGGAATGGAACCCAGGGTTTTGTACATATTCAGCAAGCGCTTTGTTGCTGAGCCCTTTTCAAGTTTTACTTTGAGACAGTCTTGCCAAGTTGCCCAGGCTGGTCTCGAACTTGTGTTCCTCCTGCCTCAGCCTCCTATGTAGCTGAGATGACAGGTGTGTATTTGTGCACCTGGCCAGAAGTCTATTCTTTCATCTCTTGCGGCCTGTTCATGTAGGTAATGAGAATGATAATAATCAGCGATGGCATTTTCTAAACCCTTCACATGGATTCTCTAGAACTCCCAACTTTTCCCGAGCGACTGTAAGCAGAGATAGGAGCCTGTCTGTCATTTTTAAATTCTTTTTAGTTGTATTTCTGGTGCTTAGAATAGTGCCTGTTAGACACTAGGTACTCATATGTATTTGAACAATTGGGACTTATGCTGGGTGCAGTGGCACACACCTGTAATCTCACCTACTCAGGAAGCTGAGGCAGGAGGATCACAAGTTCAAAGCCAGCCAGGGCAACTTAGTAAGATGCTGTCCTAAAACATAGAAAGGGCTTGGGTGCAGCTCAATGGCAAAGCACCCCTGGGTTCAATCCCTGTACCTGTGGGAGGGGGAAAGGTGGAACTTAATATATACCAAGTACTGTTCTAATTCTCCATTTTATTTATTTTATTTATTTATTCTTTTTGTACTGGGGATTGAACTCGGGTCCTTGTGCTTTCGAGGCAGGCGCTGGAACCACTGAGCCAAATCCCCGGCCCCCAACTACTGTTTTAATCCTCTCACCAACAAATATATATCCCCTCATCCTTGGTTTCAAGCTAAGCATCCTGAGGCAGGGATTTGATAACACAAGCGCGAAACACTAAGAAACCTTCAGCTACTGTCACACCTAGCCAGTGAAGCCCTAATATTGGAGTTGTTTTTCTTTTCCTTTCTTTCTTTTCCTTTGTAGGGAGGATCGAACTTGGGACCTTGTGCTTTCGAGACAGGCAGCAGAAACACTGAGCTAAATCCCTGGCTCTCTTTTTTTTTAACGGGGGTTTCACTATGTTGTCCACCCTGTCTTTGAACTCCTGGGCTCAAGTGATTCTTTTCCAGTCCCCTAGGTGGCTGGGACTACAGGTGTGTACACCACACCTGCTGTCACTTTTTGGGGGAGAGGAAGTCATTTTTTTTGAGATAGGGTCTTACTGTATAGTTCAGGATAACCTTGAACTCCCAGCAGTCCTCCTGCCTCAGCCTTCCCAGTGCTAGGAATTATAGGTATGCGCCACCACACCCAGCCTGGCTCCCACATTTAAGTTCTATTTTTTTCCTTTTCAGTACTAGGCATGAAACCCAGGACCTTTGTGGCAAGCCATGTGCCCAGCCCTTTAAAAAAAAAAACAATAAAAAAAAATATTTTTTGAAACAGAGTCTGAGTTGCCCAAGCTGGAATCAAATTTATGATTCTCCTGCCTCAGCCTCCCAGAGTGGCAGGATTACAAGTGTGCACCAGCTTCCTCAGGTTCCATGTTCGATTTCTTCACCAACATCTCACCTTGTTCCTTGATTTTGAGCCTTTTTCTGTCACTTGCAAAATCACATGGGACTGAGCTTTCTTGCCTGCCTGTCTGTCTTGTCCCAGGGAAGCCTTAAAGAAGATGAAGGACGTGTATGAGAAGACTCCCCAGATGGGGGACCCGGCCAGCTTGGAGCCCCGGATCACAGAGACCCTGCGTAACATTGAGCGGCTGAAATTGGAAGTACAGAAGTATGAGGTAAGGAGCAGGCCCCGGGGAGAGGTGGGCCAGCTGAGTCATTGCGGGCCGGGGACGGGACAGGGAGGTCATGGCCGAGGGACCCAGATGTTTCTCATCACCGCCTTGGGTGTGCAGAATGATCTCAGGAAACCTCCAGGTCCAGAGCTGGTGACCTGGCCTTGAACTGATGTCGCGATCCCGTCCCCAGGCTTGGCTGGCTGAAGCCGAGAGTCGGGTCTTGAGCAACAGAGGGGACAGCCTGAAACGGCACACCCGGCCCCCTGACCCCCCGGCCAGCGCCCCGCCGGACAGCAGCAGCAGCAGCAATAGCGGGTCACAGGAGAACAAGGAAAGGTAAGTGGGTGGCCAGGGCAGGGTGGCCTGGGGGACCCAGGAGGGCTGCCGTCTACCTGCCGTTTTCCCCCCAAGCAGCTCTGAAGAGCCCCCCTCAGAAGACGGCCAGGACACTCCCATCTACACAGAGTTTGATGAAGATTTTGAGGAGCCCACGTCCCCCATAGGCCAGTGTGTGGCCATCTACCACTTTGAAGGTGAGGACATCGTGGGTGGACTTGTCGGGGGTGGCAGTTGCACAGGGGGTGTCTCTGGCTAGGATCTGTTGAAGGCCACCTAAAGCAGAGCCCTGGGCTCTGTCCCCCATGACAGGGTCCAGCGAGGGCACCATCTCCATGGCCGAGGGTGAAGACCTCAGTCTGATGGAGGAGGATAAAGGAGATGGCTGGACCCGGGTTCGGCGGAAACAGGGAGGGGAGGGCTACGTGCCCACCTCCTACCTCCGGGTCATGCTCAACTGAGCCCCACCCAGGTGGAAGTGGGGGGCTGTCGGCTGCTGCTTCTGGGCCCCAGGGGGCCCCAGGACTTATGCACTTTATTTCCACCCCATCCCCCAGCTTCAGCCGAGGCCTCTGTGACCTTGTGCCCCCCTCCCACCCCACCTTCCACCCCCAGGGACCCGCTGTGCCTTCTAGCGCGATGTAAATACTCATGTTTCAAATCTTTTCTTCCTGCCGCTTGGCTTGGGCCGTTGTGTTTTATATATATATAAAAAAAAAAAAAA